AGATGCCCATCAACTGGGATAGACATGATGTGGGTTTTTTTTTTATACAACGTCTTATGATTTGTGTCTAGATGTCCCCCTAAAGCCTCATGTGGTCATGGGGAGTGGGTTTCTAGGAGGCAGCTGAATCTAGAGTTTGTGACTAACTCATAGTGCTATTCTGGGATTAAGGGTGCTAGGATTAAGGCTGGATGATTGCTGGATCACTCCACTGATTGGATCAACACCAATCTAATCCCAGCAATCTGGATAAGATAAAAGGGGCAGAAAGAGGCTTGTTTTCCCCCTTTTTGCTCTTGCTGTTTTTGCTGTCGTCTGCCGCCATGCCCCTTTGCCACACCACCCTGCCTCAGAGTCAGTTAATTATGGACTGAAACCTCTACAAACTGTGAGCTAAATACACCTTTCCCTCTTTCATTGGGGTGTCAGGTATTTTGTCTCAGCAAAGAGAGAAAAGTAATTAAGACACAATGGAGTTCTACTTAGCCCTACAAAAGGATAAATTTGAGACATTTCTAGGTAAATAGAGCAGCCTTGAGACCATACTTTTAAGTGAAATAAATGAGATACACCTATGTAAATATCACAGTGTTTCTCTGTTGTGAGAAACCAAAAGGGTAAATAAGGGCTGAAGTGAATAATAGATATTGTAAAATAGGAAGAAAAGGTTCAAATGGGAAGGGGAGTGAGGGAGGGAGAGGGCGAAGGAAAGGAAGGGAAAAGGGAAAAAATGAGAATAGAAGAAAAAAAATGGAAACAAAGCTTTTGTAAATAAGGAAGGGATGAGGGGGCTCAAGGGGGAGGAGAATGGGAAAAAAGCATCAAGATAATCATGTCTGTGATGTATCACTATGGATATCTAAAATGTACCAATAAACTTAATCAAAAACAATAAAAAAGGAAATACTGTAAAAATAGAAATATAACTCTCCTTTATTATAGAGTTATATATTAGAATTTCATTTTTTAATGACATATTCAATAATGAACCAAGAAACTAATCCTTAATCCCTTTTACATAGCAAGGTATGAAAATACATTTAATAAATCCAAGTATAATCAGATATTGTATTATAAATTTTAATAAACATTTCTCATTTGTATTTAACTTACTTATAAAACCATGACAGTAGACCAACATAGTTAACGTTGTGTTTTTCTGTGCCAAAGGACTTCCAAAAAGTTGCTGCACTTGTAATATAGAAAACAAAGGAATTTATGTCTTGAATTTTAATACTTAAGTTACATATTATTCTAATTGGCTAATAACATAGAAGAATATCTTTTACCATCTTTAAAGACATCTATACTCTTATTTGATGAATTTAATCTAATGCAATTTTTAAAAGATTTACCAAAGTCACGTATACAAAAGGCATTTGGAATGATTTTACGAATATACATTCATCTATGTTTTATGAAGTAGATACACAAACATATGTATATATCCAACACTATCTTATATATCACCCTTATATTACCAGATTTTAAGGTTTCAGTTTGTAAGTTTTGTGTAAACCTGGAGCCTAGCAGGCTATTACAATAAAGAGGTTTCAGAGAGGCCAAAAAAAAAAAAAAAAGAATACTTTTTATGTATACATTACAAACATCATATAGGCTTCAGATTAATTTTGTCTCTTTTCCTTAATTTGTTATAGAATGCCAAGTTAGAGAACCAAAGGTAGATTCACCTTGTCATTGGAATTTTGTTTTGAAAGTCAGTTTATGTGTGCACCTCTTCTTTAAAACTCTCAGAAAATATGCCACTATTAAGTTTATCTTTTTAGTATAAAGTCAAAAGGACCCCTTTTATTGTTCACTGTGGAACAAAGGTCATTCTCAGAAGCAGGGGAAGGCAATCTTGAACTGAAACCCAATTCCCAAATTCAAGTGCTTTGGGGTGAAATGTTTTGTGATGTAGGCTCTGGGGAATTTGTGGATCCTCTAGTCTCACTTATTTGCCTTCACTGAACTAGAATTTAATGTGTCCTGCCTGTTCATGTAGGCTGATAAGAAATAGCCATGTGAACAGTGGTGATTTGCTCTCATGAAATTGCCTCTAAGTCATAATAACAGAGAAGAAAGTAAAATCGTTTCTGCGGCAGTCATCATCTACTCATCACTTAAAAAACTTCCCTGAAAAATAAGGCAGCAGCTATGTGCTTGCTAATGTGAAAATACAAATCTATCTCAAGTTTATGGGCAGTTGCTTCTTTAAGAAGCTCACATTAAAGATACTGGTATTAAAGTAACCTCGGGACAAGATGGGTTGTTACCACTCTTGTCTTTGAACATCATTTTTGAAGTCCACGCAGATAGAGAAGAGCTGAAAAAGTATATATGGAAGAGATGGTTTGTAGATGATAGCATTGCCGTGAGAACCTTGGAGGGTCAGCTGAAACTCACAAAGCTGCTAAGAGCTGTTACAAATGCAGGCTAAATTAACCTTAAAAAAATCTTTTTTTTTTACTTAATATCGCAACAGTTAGCCACTGCGAACTATAATGGGAATTAGATTCCCTTCATAGTGTAAAAAGCAGTAGAAGGTTAGGGATGTAGCTCAGTGCTAGAGTGCTTGCCTGGTAGTACAAAGCCCTGGGTTCCATCCTAAGCACTGACAAAAGGATGTCATTTATTAAAAAAAAATTAAGCGATAGACTAAATGAGTCATACAATTGTAAAGTGGAAAATTCCTCAGACCGGTGAAATTTAGTAGAGTCTAAGCAAAGAAAAACAAAACAAGGCATACCCCCCAAAAAACTGAGGGCTGGAAGTGTAGCTGACTCCTAGAGCCCCTGCCTAGCAGGTATGAGTCCCCAGGGAATGGGAAGGGCTGGGTTACTGAAAGGCAGGCAGCTCTCGGAACCAGAGCGGGTGCTACGAACTCCAGCGAACCATGTAATCTGACAGCATTTGCAGAGAACAAGAAGTGAGGCCCAGAACAACAACCCAGTTGGCTACATCTTAGTCAGTCAACCCATCTTTACAGATGAACGAGTTATTTGTGTGAGCCTAATATTAGCGAATTGGCTACAGGGCTTCCTGCAGCCAGCCAGAGTTCAGTCAATATGATCATGTTCGATGTTGCTTTGGTCTGCTGGTGCTTAGTACAGGTATCCAGGGCAAATTTACGGCCAAATTCGTGGCCCACTATTGTATCATTGAGCATGGTGCTTCACCTACAGCAGTTCCTCAAGTATTTTTTTTTAAACAAATAAATTAATAAGATAATACTAGGTCATAATAGAAGATTTAGAAGCCTTTGGTGAATAGGAAGACTCGTTGTATTTTTAGATGGGAAAGGCAGTGTGAAATCTTTGTTTTCCTGCTAATTATAAACACTGGCTAATTTCAGTGCAAATCGTAGGATTTTTTTCTTTCCAAGGAAGACAGGAGCACTTGATTAAATGCATACCTGGGGCAACTTTGGTTTTCACTTTTTTATAGTGATGCATGAGGGACGCCCTGCCTTACAGGTACTGAGATTGTCAGGGAAAAGGAAAAGAAACAGCTACAAGCTCACACGATACGCGTGTTTCAGAACAAACCTGAGAGGGACCGCTCTGATCCTAGAGGCCAGACCGGCTGCTCTTGTACCGGCCACAGGGCTTCTAAGGGTCGTGAGCATAAGGGTGCGGAGGGTCAGTGAAGGGAGTTGCGGTTACTTGTTAGGGACAAGGCTTGCACATGCACAGGGCATTGTGGTTACTTGTCAGGCGCAGGGAGTTACGGTTTGCAGCTATGGTTACCGGGCCTGATCAACCCATGATCACACATTCCTAGCAGGTACACAAGCACAAGGGTGGGTGTGTGTGTGTGTGTGTGTGTGTGTGTGTGTGTGTGTGTGAGGGTGGTTAATGTGATAGCTGATCAGCTCAGAATGGCAGTGGTCAGATTCCCTCAGAGACCATGAAATTACAGATCAGACACGTAAAACGGTTGTAAGCCCGTGGGAGGAAAGGGCCAGGGGCCTGTGTATTTTGGTGACCCCGTGTGGGTTCAGTGTCTTCTGCTTGGAGGTACCTCTGTGGGGCAGGCAGATACCCTGCTGGGCCAGCACCTTACAGAAGTGAGGAGGAGGCCTGCAAATCGCAGGAACACGGGGATGTGGCGCGGGATGGGGGGCTGGTTGCTGCTCTTGGTTCTCCCCTGGGGGCGTGGGTGGCACTCGGTGGCCAGGTTCTGAGACTCAGAAGTGGTGCAGGGGCTGCTGCACCGAATCCCAGGGGGTGAGTGTGGGAGGACCAGCTGACAGCTGGTGATGGGACGGTGGGAAAGGACGTCCGACCAGAGTGACAGGCGGTGACTGGACGGAGAACCAGTGTCACGTCCTGGGGGACCCGGGCCCCGTGCCGAGAGAGCAGGGAAGTGTTACTGGATTTACAGCAGAGGGTGACTTGCATGAGGGGCCCAGGTATGAGGTGTGATTTAAACAATACAGTGAATATTAAAATCTTTTAAATTTACGAGCACATTGTCATTAATCCCCCTCACAACCCTCCCCTCCGCTTTGAACACTTACTCCTTCACTCTTGCCACCCTCGGAAGCAGCTCTGGAAGGCCTTTCTCATGAGTGTGTCTTTAGCTGTATACCGTTACGACTACCTTGATGTGCTGAATCCATTCGAAATGTTTACGTTCGTGGTCACTTTTATTTTAGGGAAGAGCCGGAAGTCACACGGTGCCAGCTGTGGTGAATAAGGTGGATGAGGGTGCGCTGTGGTGTTCTTAGGAGCCTGCCTTTCCGTTGGGTGGCCCTGACAGTAGCAGTCACCATTTTTATAACCCCACCTCATAAAGATACTCACAGAAGAAGACTTGTAGGACTGCTGTAGAAAGTGGCAAGCGGGTGCGATCGGTGTGTGTAAAGCGAGGGGCAGTATTTTGAGGAAGGTTAAGGGCAGTGTGTCTTCCACCGAAGTAACGTTTAGCGTATATTTCGATTACACCTTGGACATCAGTACTGTGACCAAGGGGCTAACATCGTTTCTTGCTTGTAGCCTACAGCGCCCTGCATCCAGGAGTTCCTCACCCTGCTGGCTGTGTGCCACACTGTCGTGCCCGAGAAGGACGGAGACGAGATCCTGTACCAGGCCTCCTCCCCAGGTGAGGGCGCTTGGTGCATGTGCCCTGCCAGCCCCCGCCCTGAAGATGGGGGTGTCCCTGGTGATCTGGGGGAGAGGCAGGGAGCAGCCTGCCCCCACAGGCCCTGCTGGCCCCACACCACTTCCAGGTTAGGCTGCAGAGGTGAAATTTGCAAGAGCCAGTGCTGGGCTCTCCTGACTGTCTTGATGACCCTTTGATGGCGGGGAGGACCCGACCCATGCCAGCGGGCATTTCCCAGCAGTAGTTACTGGGCCAGGCAGAGTATTCCAGAGAGAACGGGCTGCGTCGGCCACACGTTGTAGATTTTCCAGCTGCAGCTAGCTGCTCTTTGCCCACTTCCAGGGGCTCTGAATCCCATAGTACTGCGACTAAAAAACATGGCCTTGTTTGGCAGAGATGCTTAGGCAGTGGGAGTGCAGTATTAGGTTGACCAGCAGAACTTGATCCCACTGAGAGCGGCAGGAGTGCAGATCTCTCTTCTGGTGAGTTAGCTCTCGGCCCTCGTCTTTGCATCCTCCCTAAGGGCTCACCGTGGGCCTCGGCGGTAGGCGGAGCGAGGGCTCCTGTCTCCCGAACCCTTACTACTGCATGGGTGGCACCAGGCTTCCTTAACCACCCGGAGTGTTAGTTTGAAGAATGGCCCTTAACTCGATTCTGTCACGAGGCGGGGTTAGCCAGCGTTTCACCAACTTCTGCTTGACAGATGAGGCTGCTTTGGTGAAAGGGGCCAAGAAGCTGGGTTTCGTCTTCACGGCCAGAACGCCGTACTCGGTCATCATAGAGGCGGTAAGGGCACATTCCAGACCTCCCTCTGTTTTGAAGCTTGTGTGTAAGTTTGAAATCATGTATCCATTGTGAATGTCATTTTTCTTCTCTCTCAGTGGAGAAAATAGACTTGAAACACTCAGTTGCTTGATTTTATGTCATTGCATGAGCTCATACCTGTTATGTGGCGTTGCTATCATTTCTCTCTTTTAAAGAGGCTTCCCTACAAGTCCTCGGTGCACTGACGGAACCCTGTGGCAAGGGCTTTGCAAGTATTCTCTCTAAAAGTTGGGAGAATGGCTTGTGTCCTTCTGTCTGTGAGGCAGGTCCACATCTCTCTGTAGCAACAGCGTCCAAGAGCTCCCTCCCAGCGGGGTCCTCTGTCTACAGGGCGTCGTGTCCGGCTGTGAGAGAGGGGACCCAGAGCTTAAGCTCTTCTCTGTTTATATGACTGTGTTTCCTTCCTGCCGTCAAGGAGTTTATGTATTTTTCCTTTTTTTTTTTTTTTTTGAGTTTTCCTCCCTGCGGACTAGAGGGAGAGACATTTAGCGACAGGATAACTGAGTATCCATTATTCAAAGTGCTTGGAAACCAGACACGTTTCAGATTTCAGTTTCTTTTCTCAGACTTTGAAATATTTGCATACCCACAAGGAGATACCTTGGGATGGGCTCCAGGTACTGAACACGAAACCCATTCATGTTTCGGAGCCGCCTTCTCCACGCGGCCTGACAGACGTTTTTACAGGGGTGTAGTGCTGCTGTGCTTTGACCGTGACTGCTCCCAGGAGGTCAGGCGTGGGGGCTTTTGCTTGTGTCAGCATGTCAGTGCTGAAAACATCTTGGAGTTTGGATTTTCAGGTCAAGGATGCTCAGCCTGTATCAAGAATAAAGCCAAAGAGCGAGATTGGACGGGCAACAGTGACAGCGATGGTTAGGACCGGCGCAGCGCTGGTGCTGTGAGGACCAAGTTCAAAGGGCTGTGCCGCTCTGCGGCTGATAGTTACTGTCCTCCTTTGCCATCCGCTCGATTTGGGGAAAACTGATGGCTTATTACAGTGCTTAGCTTAACGTTGAAAGTCCCTAGACCTTTTTAACGTACTGGAAGTTTGCTTCCAAGCAATTGGTGTTATCCTGAGTTGATAGTAGTTAATTTTTTCCTTTTACATAGAAAGTATCCAAACATGTTAAATATCAGACTTACACAAAATGCCAATCTCCTGGCATCTTCGGTTGCTTTTGGAATATGGAGATCAGACCATGTTAATTTTTACTTTTTTTTCAATCAAGAGAGGGAATTTAGCTTAAGGAAATGTGCAATTATTATTAGTGGAATGAAGTACTGATTGAATATAGAATTTCCCACATAACAGCTAAAAAGAAAAAAGAAAGGAAGAAAGAAAGGTCTTCTGCCCTGTCAGTTTGAGGAGAGGGGGTGCCTTGGCGGTAGCATTTTCAGGTGTGGGGTGGTGTGCGTGTCTCTGCGTTGTAGAAGTGGGGTGTGGGCAGGCTGAGTGTGAGCAGAGGAGCTGCTTGCGCTTGGCTCGTGGAGCCAGAGAAGTACGGGGAGCAGAGAACCCATGACATGTCATCACAGTGCTAGGTGCTGGACTGACCCCCTTTGTTGTTTTATTACGTCCTATTTCTGGGAGTAAGAAAGATGGCCTGACTAGTTGGGTATCAAAAATAATAAAACAATCCCATTCAACCACTCATTCTGGGGTATAATTGAACCACAAATTCTCCAGTTGCTCACCAGTTCTTTCCACAAGGGGTCCTTGCTGACCCCTCGACCGTGGACACGTGTGCCGTGCTTGTGTGGACATGGTCGGTGTGGCAGCGGGGCAGAGAGGAGGCTGCTGCTGGCAGTGGGCGGGGCATGCGTGAATGCACCAGTAGGGTACCTCAGGGTGCAGCGAGATGGGGTGCAGAATGGCGGAGGGGAGATCACTGCATTGATACTTCCGTTACACCTGAGGGGATGGTGCAGTCATCGTTCATAAGCACGTCACGTACTTCGTGGCAGGAGCTGGATTCAAACTGATTGTGATGTGTTATTAAATTAAAAAATTTGGAAATGGCCTGCACGCAATCTGTAACTGTTTTTCAGATCGAGACATTGTGAATACTGATGTTCTAACTGGAGCAAATCCAAAGAAAAGGGGCATTTAATTGGTTAGTTGCCCTGAGACCAGGTGCATATTCATAATCCCTTATCTGCAACTCTTAACCTCCAAAGCTTTGAATTCCAGGTTTTCCCTCTAAGTTTGGGGAATAGTCATTTGGCATTAAAATGTAACGGGAACTGACATGAGCCTCCGTACGGTCTTTATGGTCCTTACTCAGTTTGATAGTCTCATGTTTTTTGACAGAAAATTCAGGGGTTTCACCCTATTGGGGACATACGCTGATAAGATATATGTGTAGACCTTTATAAAATGTGTAGAATCCTGAACTTGACGAAGTGCAAAACTGACAAATGATGACGACTCTGATCAGTTCGTCCCATCAGCATAACTGGCCGCAAAGTTTCTGAGGGTGCTGTGTAGCCTGGGTCTTTCCCTCTCATGTAAGAGCCTTAGCGGTAACTGAGAGAAAAGAAGCTTCTACCATACCAGAAGAGGGCGCTGTGATCCCGTCAGACTTGTGAGTGAACCGGGGAGGAGGGCGTTTGTGAGTGAGGGCAGATGCTGTGAGATTGTACTATTTTGAGCCACAGGTAAGAGCTTGTTTTTCTTACTGCAGATGGGACAGGAGCAGACATTTGGAATCCTTAATGTCTTGGAGTTTTCCAGGTATGCTTCTCCTTCGTACGCTTGAAATTTTAATATCTATTTAACAACTTTATTTGCATATTTGCATGGCTGTTTGATCTGATTAATCAGTACTTAAGCGTTAAATGTGTTAAATACACCCCCGTTGGCCCTTTTTTTGGGAATTTGTGACTTCAGTGAAAGGAAGTGAAGTAGGTCCTTTTTCTTTTTTGCTAAAAGGTTACGCTTGCATGTCCCTCCTTCTCCAGAGCCTGGTGACCCTGCATAATCAGGGGCAGGCCCATCTGCCTGGATGGAGTGTGTGAGGGTGTTTTTGTGGGCATTGGCCGGGTCCGGTGAGATCGTGCCTCCTGCCACACCTGAGCGCGCCTCTGGGGCCTGCAGAACTGACAAATGATGACAACTCTGATCGGTTAGTCCCGTCGGAGGCCTTGTCCATGTAGGGCAGTTCTCTTATATGTATTCTGATGCATTCTTCCCAGCTCAGTTTTTTTTTTTTTCAAGATCTAGAAATATTTGTTGGATTCTTTTGTTCTCCTGGAAAATTCATGATTTGTTATGAGGAACCACATCTTAACATTGGTTTCTTTCCTCCCTTTTTAACATTGATGGTTAATACTAGAGCAAGGTTTTATTGCTACCTCAAAAATATCTTTTTCTGTTGTTGAAATTAGAGGTTTTTTCAAGAACCTCTGTTAAATGATTCATACTTTGTCCTGTTTTATAAGTTGTTTGGTGAAGGTCAATTTTTATCTCATTGTGGGAAATTCTTTCCAGCCCTACTCTATACTTTTAGGATTTTAAGCTTGAATTTGATGGGTCAGAGCCCTCGGGGTGGGAACTCAGTGAGAGACGGGGATGGTTCATCACAGGAGTAGTTCGTGTAGAAGTGTGTGGTCAGAGACGTACTACACATCTCCGTAGACTTGACACTGCCCCCCCCAAAAGTTTCCTGTTGGAAACTGTTGTTTAGTGGCTGCATTAACTGGAACCATCAGCTAATGATCAGACAAAGAGTATAAAGGGAGTTAAGTAAAAAGGGGAAAATGGATAGAGATAGGAGGATGTATTTTAAAAAGACCATGGGAGAGGAAGAGGGAAGAGAAATAGAAATTTGTGGTTATCATGGTGGTTCTGTTTTAATCAACCTGTTGTTGTCCTGATACCACTTAATCCTGGGAAACCCTCTGGGGGTAGTTTGTGGTAATCTGCTTTATTCATTGAGAAACTGAAACACAAGTTAGAGAATTTTGCTAAGGTAGCTGAGAAAGAATGCAAATCCAGGTAAGAGAGAGCCCTGCAGGTCAGCATGTGGGAATTTATGCAGAACTGGAGACCTGAGGCCCCCTTTCTGTGGAGCGTACGGTCCAATGGAATAAGCAATTAGGAGGCCAGATAGAGGGGTGCCTGGGCCCCACGGGGCTTGCGTGTATTTCGGAGGGGTGACACATCAGTGAAGGTGTAGGAAGATCAGACAGGGGAGGAGAAAGTGAGGAAGTGAGAGGAGGGGAAGAAAAGGCCCAGGCTGAATTAGGGCCCGTCTATTCATTTACAATTTCTTTCTATAGAACAGACCATGATGACTATTTTTTTCTTACAGTGACAGGAAAAGAATGTCTGTAATTGTCCGAACTCCTTCAGGACAACTTCGGCTCTACTGTAAGGGCGCTGTAAGTGTCTGCATGGTACCTCCAAAGCAGGGCGTTGTTCGTTACCTTGTTAACTGGCTGCTTTTCCTAACTGCTGACCTTCTTACCCCTAATCCTTTGCTTAGAGTTGAGGTTGACCAGCTCTTTTGGGCTGATGTCGTAGGGACAAGGCCCCTGAAGATACTGTGGTTCAGTGGCACAGCAGAGGCAGTCAGGGAAGTGTGCGTCCAGTCAGCTGTTGGTTTCAGAAAGAGCAGCTCAGCGTGGGAGGCAGACGCTGGGGAGGATGAGCTCTGGTTCCAGTTTTACCACTGTTGTGCTATGACTCCATAATTTGTGCTGGCCGGTGACAAGCTCCTTTAAATTGTCTGAAAGATGGTGGTTCTCCAGCAGCTGTGCTTCCCAGTCACTGTGATTTATTTTTCTTCCATTGCAGCGGGTCCACGGGGAGGGTGCGTGTGTGATTGCATTTTTACAGCTCCTTTCGGTCCGTTTCCTGGGTCAGGCATTTTGTCCCGTGGCCTCACCCATAATCAAACCCAAAGGTGCTGCCTCTAAGGAAAGATGTTATTACTTATGAATCTTGTAAAACTACATCCTGTTCAATGGTGGTCTCAAGGGAAAAGAACTTTTAAGCTTATTTTATGAGACTATGTCAAGTATATGATACTATCCCAGGATCAATATTGGTTAAAAATCTCACTAATCTTTACCAGTTGTGAGGAAAGGTGGTTAGTACACTATGACTGGGGATTTTTAAAAATGAGTAATGCATGGGACTTCTAAAGGCACTGTACTTGGACCCATAAAAGAATTCTGATTTTTATTTTTTATTTTTTTTTTGGTTTTTCTCCGGTGCTGGGAACTGAACTCACGACCTTGCGCTTGCCAGGCAGGCGCTTTGCCGCTGAGCTAAATCCCCAGCCCCAGAATTCTGATTTTTATGACAGCAACTTCAGTTAAGGTCCTCGAGATGTGTCCCACGATGCATTTTTAAAAAGTTACTATTTATTTCCCATTGTGTTGTCAGTATCCTAGCAAGTGCTTGGTCAGCAAGAGGTAGCAGAGACAGGAAGTCTGTAAGTACAGAACAGGGCAGGGTTATTTCATTCTGATAGAATTTAATTACTGTGTCTGCAAACCTGCCCCGAAAGCAAACTAGCTTTTGAAACCAATGTCCTGGTACTGTGCAGTGTATAGCACGCTTGATAGGTTATCTGTGCCATCCAGACCTCCAGCTCTGCTTGTCAGTCATGCAAACCGTCACAGGCGCTGGGCTCTATGCACCTGTGTATTTCTCAGCAACAGTGTGTTCAGTGCCTGTGGGCTGCACCCTCCCTGTTAGGGCGACTCCAGTATTGTCAAGCAAGGCCGTACTTAAGTAACTTCGGATGTGTATTTCACTCCCTCTGTTTCTGTATGGAAAACCTCTAACATTTCTATATTACAGGTGGAGCATCTCTAATCCAAAAATTCAAAGTGTTCCAAAATCTCAATCTTTTGGTCATTGGCCTAAGTGGAAGGTTGTACCTCTGACCTCATATAGGTCAAAATGCAGGCGCAGTAAATGTATTGTATAGAATCACCTGCAGGCTGTGTGTGTAAGGTGTCTGTGGAACAGAAATGAATTTTGTGTTTAGACGCGGGTCCCAACCTGTGGATATTTCATCATGTATATGCAAATACTAGTCTAAAACCTGGAAAAAAAATCCCAAATCTACAACACTTCTCGTTCCAAGTAACTCAGATGAGGGTTACTCAGTCTGTACTTGAGGATGAGGGTTTGCAGATTGTGTGTGAACCTGAGCCCTGTTGTGTCCTTGGTTATTCTGCTGCCCCCTCGGGTCCCACCGTGTTTTTACTTGGCTTGTAAGGCACGTAACAGCTTTTGGTTTTGTGGGACGTACCCATGCCCAGTGTTTTCCAAAGCTCATGCCTCAGCCCAGCCAGGGACTCTAATCTTACCCACTCAAGTCTTTTCATGTCCATTAGATAAACACAAAGAAACCAAACCACGTCGAGTATGCTGACTGGAAGATTTCCTTAAGGGCTTGCCAGTCACAATCAGTGTTTCCCTGTTTTATAGGATAATGTGATTTTTGAAAGACTTTCAAAAGATTCAAAATACATGGAGGAAACATTATGCCATCTGGAGTACTTTGCCACAGAAGGTAAGCAGAATTTGCAAAGGTAACTTTTGATCCTTGAAGCTGTGCTTTTAAGTGTTGATTGCTGATCTTGGGTAAGCAGTCCTGCTCTGAGTGGACGTATCGTTTAGGGTCAGTACTACTTGGCTTGCTTCACAGGACTATAGTCTTCAGGTGCCTACTGTGTCCCGTCCCACTGCTACATTTTGTGCCTGTGCCAGTGACAAAATAAGTGGCGAAGACCAAACCCAGTCACCCATGTGACTCTGCTAACTCTACCTAGTAGTGCAGAAGGAGGGGAAGGCTAAGGGCACATGCAGTATCACCTCGTTTCTTTCCTGGAAAACTCATCGTTTCTCTGTGCCTCTCCTATTACCATTATGACACTGGCTTATCCAGGGTTTAAGGAAATAACGCACAGAACCCACGGAGAGCAGGATAGGAGCTCTCCGGAAGCCTTGGAACAACGCTGGTGTCAGATTTTCCTGCTCGGGTGTGACGATAGCGGGAACCCATGCAGTGCGGCCGCTGCTCACTCTCCGTGGTGTGCTCCTGCGGCCGCACAAGAGCATTTGCGTGGAGGAGAGCGCACGTGTGTGTACTTGCCCAGGGCATAGCTGCTTGAAAACTTGGATCTTTAATGTGATACCATGTTGTATCACATGTGGTGATACATTTTTATCGTGGTCTTGAAACATACATCCCACTTGAAGATTTCTGCCTCATACATGTGCACTGTGCCCGGCTTGTGCACCTTCTGCTGTACAACATTTCTAAGATTTTTAGAAGAGTTTTTTTTTGGGGGGGATGTGGTGCAGCCATCTTTAAATGCCCTCTGTAGATGTGTGAATGCTGAATTAGAGTGGCCTGAAACGCAGACCTTTAATTATTTGAGCATGGGGATGTAAGAGGAAGCCACATGGTGTCTCTTTGGGATGTAAATTACAGCGTCCTCCCTGCCCCATTCCCACTGCCTGTTTGCAGGCCTGCGGACTCTCTGTGTGGCCTATGCCGACCTCTCTGAGGCAGACTATGAGGAGTGGCTGAAAGTCTACCAGGAAGCCAGCATCATCTTGAAAGACCGAGCTCAGCGGTTGGAGGAGTGTTACGAGATCATCGAGAAGGTGACCACATGCAGAGCAGTTTCTCAGTTCCTACTGGAGAACGTTATTCAAGAAAGTCTTTGCAGAGGAGTGCATGTGCTTTCTTTTTTCTAGCAGTGCTTTCTTTTTTCTAACTGTCTTGATGAACCCTTAGCTCTGAATCATGTCTTTGCTTTAGAAGCACTTAGTATTCATGGGTTATGTGAAAGATCTAGCCACCTTCAGCAAACCATTAATGATATCTTCAAAAATATCAGGGGAAAAAATATCAGATCAAAAACTGTGTCAGTGACTTTCTGGGTTTGCCTAAGATTAGACTTCCTAAGATTAGGTCACCCCGTTGAGTTATGTAAGCCTATTAGGTTACCCTTTGGAGAATGTTGTATAGTAGGCTGATTAGACATTGTATATACTTATTTATGCTTTACTGTATGCTTTATAGTCTACTTTGATTTTTTTTGTTGATGTTACTTTTAGTTATAACTCAGGCATTAGGTCGTTTTGTACTTACTTGGATCCCCTCAAATTTGGAAGCTAGGTTTCGTCTTTTCCCCGTTGATGTCAGGAACCACGGGACCGTTTTCCAGTTTCTCTACATCTAAAGCCATCATCTGTTGGCTGTTTTTCATTCCTTCCCTTTTTTAAAATTCCCCTTTGCTTTTTCTGAGTTTTTGCTAGACCTTTATGTTCAGTTGTTGGTAGTCATTTTAGTGGACTCTTGGTGGCAGTGATCCTGAATTCAAGCATGGGTTTTGCCCTGCTTTGCTGATTAAAAAAAAAGTGAGTTAACTTCATCTAAGTTTGCTTGAGCACAGCAAAGTTCTAAACAGAACAGCACTCCTGGTGGAAGATGACACCTGGAGCTCACCTCATGTGCAGGCTGTGTTTATAGCAAGATAAAGGAGTGATATAAAGAAACCATGGGATTGGTTTTAGTCAGCATTTGCCATATATGGACGTGTTTCAGTCCCTGATTGGCTGGAGGCTCAGCTTCTGCATTGGTATGAGTTGCTTGCTCCTTTTAGGGTTTATACTTTCTGGTTGGGCTGCAGGTCCCTTATCAATCTAGGTTATAGTTTTCTACTGCAGAGGTTCATTTTGGGCCAAATTTTGTAGCCCAAGTATAGAGAAAAGTTTAGTTCCAGTTTAGTTTAACACCATCCAAAATTACTTTTAGGATCAGAGAACAGTGGTCAGATGGGTACCACGTACACATACTACTCACGAGGTAGCTGGACTTTCCAGGGGTCTAGTCAGAGAGAGCTAGGGGGCTGTGTCATAGAGAGACACAGGCCCTCTGGGCAGCTCTCTGGAATCTGTCGGACAGGTAGCCAGAGCCCGAGTACCTAGGGTTTCCATCCTCAGTGTGACTCCTTGGAAGAGTACTACCGAGGGACATACTTTGTAGCACCCAATCTTCAGACACTTTGATGTTTTCCCTCTAGCTATTAAATGGTGCTGCGGATTCAACCCAGGGCCCTGGTGCATGCACAGGTCTCTTGCTGCTCTGCCTCCAGATGAGGGTATCACCTAGAATCAGTTCTTCTGAGTTAAATGCAGCATGATGCTTTACTTATCAGTGGAATGAGAAGAAGGGCTTAGCCACTGTTAACTTCAGGATAATCACCTCCTTGTGCACTCTATCCTGACATGCCTCAGGACCCAGGAGTGAAAGATGAGTGCTAGCTGCCGGTGTGAGGAGCAGCCCCAGCATGGTGAAGAGTTTGGAATGCCCCCCACCTAGATATCATTAATCACCTACAGACCCGGGTTAGGTGTAGAGGATTGTAGTCATCTCAGAACTTTTGGGTTGGCTTTGTCAGAGTTGTCGTTAGTGAAGTGTGACTTAGTCGCTCATTGAAGGTGTTTTCCAACCTAGAATTTGCTGTTACTTGGCGCCACAGCCATAGAAGACCGCCTTCAGACCGGGGTTCCAGAAACCATAGCGACTCTGTTGAAGGCAGAAATTAAGATATGGGTGTTGACCGGAGACAAACAAGAAACTGCAATCAACATAGGTAATCAACTTTTAAAATGATTTCCTAGCACTGGTATCTGTTTCTTAAGTGTCTTGTGGACTTACCTAAGTATTTCGATGATGTTATATAGAAATCTTTCCTTACAGAGTCAGAGAGCTTACCCAAATCCAGTGCAAGTGCTCTTTCACATACTATCTGCCTATTACAAACACTGACACCATTGTAGCTTCCTGGAAAAAATGAAACACGCTTAGAAGATAGAATTTGAGTTGGCAACTTTGATTTTCTCATTGCTTTCTTCAAAATATTTCACTCTGGCAGGCTGTTTTACTAGATTTAAATGTGTACCATTGTCATAATTATAACCAATTTTAATAATTTTACCAGTGGATGTATTTTTCTGTGCATTTCATACCATTCTCTTCCCCATCTTGGTTGACTTTTCTTGCTGAGCTTCCAAGATGTGGAAATTGAAGAAAGGGAACTTACCTCAAATAACTATGTTAAAGGAGCACAATTTAAGCTTAAAAAGGAGTTGAAGCGACTTTTAAAAAAAATTCTAATTTGATTACTTGAAATATTTTGGAGTTATCTCTACTGTGGTCACCATTATGAAACAGGACCTGCTACAGAGGAGATAAAATGAAAACGGTTGTGTAATATAATGTTTTTATGGAAACAATCTCTGTTACCACTGCTTTTACAAGAAAACCTATTCGAAACTCTGAATTCCAGTGAGTGTAGCTCTTTTCAAAGAAGTCTCCTTGGGTTAAGTATTTTGATTTTGAGGCTACCTTTTCCTCAAAACCTCCTCTTTTGAATTAGCTCTGTTCTCAGATAACCTCAGCTGTAAATAGCACCTGCCCTTCGGATGAATTTCATTTCTTGGAAAAGTAGACAAATGCCATGTAATCATTTCTTACTGATAAAGCGCATTAAGTGCAATTCAGATTAGCAAACAACAGAAGTTCAAGTCACAGAGAATGACATAGGGTTTTGTGGACATTCTTTGAGGCATGAGGTACAGACCTTGTCTCTGAATTTATGTTGCTTGTCACCCAAGTGCACAGTTTGGGACAGGAGTGTGATGATAACTCAGCGCAGACCCATCTTTGCTGCTAGGAAGTAAAACCCCAGGCATAGCCCTTTGATGACGTGTGAGTACCGTCTTCATAACTGAAGACAGTACATTTGCTTTCTGTGTGCTTTCTGCATCTGTGCATAGGTTGGCCCTTCAGGTGTTGTTTCCCGTGTAGATTTGGCCTGAAACACCTATCAGTCTACGGTTCCCGTTATTCCTAGAAAGCACACCTGCTGCCCTGAAATACCTAAAGCTTACCTAATATCATATGCTTTCTGCCCGCTTAAAGTGATATGGAAAAAGTGGACATAACCCTCAGGTATAATGATAAGCTTTTTACTTGCCCAGATCTTGAGAGTTCCTACAGACTCGTGCTGTACGCACACTCCTTGCCCCAGACCTAGCTTCCGTAAGCATTGGGCTGTGTCTGCTGCTGAAGCTTGCACGGTACCTGTCAGTCGTGCCACCCTACCCTTGGGGAAGACACACGCTCCTTTCCTTGCTTTGTTTTGTTACACCTGAGTCTATCAGTTTAGCTCAGTTGGAATACAGGTAAGGAAAAGCAAAGGCCGAAAATCACCCCTGAAAATACCAATGGGATTTTGACTTGTAAAGGAAATTTTTGATTGCATTTTGTAAGCCTGTCCTGAGCTTTATACAGTAATTGACAACTATCCAAATACTTTTAAACATACTGATTAGTTTGTACTTTAGCAAGAAAGTATAGTAATGTAACCTGTGATGTTGGTACCAGAAGTAGTGTCATCCATTAGTACTTCTTAATTGATCTTTCACAGTGAATTCTTCCCAAGACCACTCAGAGATGATGCCTCCTACTTAAAAGTTCATGATGTTGCCAGAGTCTTTATATTTATACTGGAAGTTTCCTCGACTTCTCTTTTATCTATTGTTATCAGGCTCGTTCAAACTCTTCTTTGATGTTAGTCCATTTCTAACAGCCAGGGAATCAGAGTTCCTTGAAGGAATGAGGTCTGAATTATTTTATTATTTCACTATTCAAACTCAAGCTTGTATCCCTGGGTACTGTGGAGGGATTAAGTGTCAGTTAAGTGATACTGAGGATATCTGTTGAGCCTACAAAAGAGCACGAAGGTTCAGGAAGGCGTATCGTCTAGACATTTCATTAGACAGTGTTGAGCCACAAAGTGGCAGCTATCAGCAGCATGAGATCATGTTCTGGGTAGAGTACGGGGTTTGGGGCTGTGTTTAGTTATATAGTCCTTCTTCCCCTGGTAATAGCAAGGTGATCTGTCTCCTGGAACACTGTGTATACTAGTGCATTTTATGTATATTTTAGGGCATTTGAAAGATATTTGAGAAGAGTAATACTTAAGTACCTGGCAGTTCTGCTTCCAGGTGGATGTAGGAGGAGAAAGTAAATTGGTCGTGTCTGACTGGTGCCCGTTATGGTGCTACAAGTATTCCCTGAAAACTCTTTCTGTCTTTACATGTGAAAAATCTTAACATGCTTAGAAAAATTGGAGTTGTTCAAGGTTCTGATTTTCTTAAAGACTAAACTCACACTGAAGTCTTTCAGATTTTTTATTTATTTCTTTTTGGAATATTTGCACAGGTATTACCAATTGAACATTACTGACCCCGAAATCTGAAATCCATAATGCTCCGAAATCCAAAATTGATCAGATTTTAGAGTATTTGTGGTTTAAAATTTGTGAGTTGAGGTGCTCCAACCTATAAATCTCAGGGCTCTTGACTTCTCATACAGGGGTCATTTAAAGAGATTCTCATAAGTTTCACAAAAGTTGTTTTCTGAAATTTGAATCGGGAGACATGAAAAAATGGTATGATATTTTATCCATGTTAATATGCATATATTTTTAAATGTTGTAATATCCCTGAAATTGGAATATTTTAGACCATTGGTGCTTGCACCTTTAATCGGCAGCATTTTCTAGTGGTACATATGGTAAGAGTTCATCTTTCAGATTTGGTGACATTTGTTGTGCTTTGTGTTTGGGGTTGTTAGCTCTCTTTATCATTTGTGTATACACATACATCTATCATATACTTTGAGAGTTTATCTTTAATGTGTGACTTTTCCTTCATATATAGGAAATAAATATATGTAGTCAAATTAGGTTTCAGGGTATTTGTGTTTCCTGTGATCCAGTGAGTTCTGTGTAGATAGAATGGTCATTTTGCCTATAGATTTTACTAGTTTGAAACTGTCATGTTCTCAGGTTCATGCAGTACTGGCTTGAATTTATGCCGACTCACCGTGTTTGGGGGAGTTGGCAGTTTTCCTTCTTAGGTTAAGAATTTGGCGTCAGTGAGTCTAAAGTAAAGTTTCAGGTGTGGCCTTTGTGGCTCACTTGGCCGTCATTTTCTTATTACAACCGGATAAAACATCTGTCAATAAATTGTACAATATATATACGAAGCTTTCAGAGTTTATAATTTTCTCCTAGTGGGATGTGGAATGAGCGAAAACAAAATCCTAGTGTGTACTCCATCTTAAAGTCATTAAGTTGGAAATAGCTGTCATCTCAAATTATTTCTGAGTTGCAGTTTTGAGGCTCTCATGTCCCTGAATCTGATTGCCCATCAGCTGGTACTTGTAAACCACTTTACAAAACAGTCTTGCAAGTTTAATAAAAATATTTTTTAAAAATTAGGTGTGTATTCTAGGGTATATACTATAAATGATATGGGAAGCATGTAGATTATCTTAGCTTACTTTTGCAGGAGAGTGAATGTGGGGCTTGCTGCCTATATGTGTTACTTATTCCTTCAAAGGAAGATCATTCCCCATTCTCAGGTGAAGCTGGCTGGACCAGTTACAACAGTGGTGGTATTCTCAATGTGAGTGTTGTTTTTCATGGAAAATTCCGACTAGCATTGTCATCAGATACTCCACTAGATGCTTGGGTCTCTTGCATTCCCTGACTGATGTGTGAGTTCATTGCAAGACAAATTAGCAAATGATACAGATGAGAACATTCTACCTGCATCTGTCTTAGTTACTTTTCTCATTTTGGAGACAAAATACCCAACACATGCATGTTAAAGGAGGAGAGGTTCATTACAGTCCACATTTTGTAGAGATTTCAGTCCTCTGCAATTGGCTGTGCTCGATCCTTGCAGCTTTCTTCAAACATTCCATGTTCCTGGCTTCTCCGGTCTTCTAGCCCCTCCACCGCACCTTTGGCTTCACACTCACAGTTTTACATACTGTTCCCTTGGGGGCACACTGCCTGGCCTCCTGGGCCTTCTACTGAAATCTGGGTGGAAACTTTCCTGACCCCACAACTCTGGTGTTCTCCAAGCACCTAAAACAAGCACCTTGTGGATGATGCCAGATCTCACACCAGATGGATCACTAGCCAGGCTTCCCTCTCGCTTAGTTGTAGAGGCTGAGTGCCTGGATTTCTGAACACTATGAATCAAATCCTGAGAAACAACTTCCCTAGGCTGCCACCATTCTGGAACCTGAGTGCTCTTCTCAAGGCAGAGTCTTTCACCTTCGCAATTTTGAGGCTACGGAGGGTGGAGTCCTGCTGCTTCTTATGAGGCCCTCTTTTCTATTGTCCTCTTTTTTCTTAGCAAACAAGTTTTCCTCTGCTCCTTATTGCTATAGGAGTTTCCTTTTTGGCCAAACTCAAAATGTTCTAAATCCTTCTGCTGGGTCTTCGATCATAGATCTGACTCAAAGCACCCAACAGTAGCCATGCCACTGCCTCAATGTTAGATTGCCTTGAAATTTCTTCTGCAATATCAATTAACCCACAGTCCTCAATCTCAGTCCCAGGCAAAGTCTCTGGAGAGGAGCAAAATGTAGATACATTTCCTGCCAAAGCATAACCTATGTGGTCTGGAGCCCAACAGCCGATGCAGTCGTTGTTCCTAACTGAAACCTCCGGAGCCTGGTCTCTGCTGGCTGCATTTCTATCAGTATTCTGGCCTTCTGAGCTCTGAT